CTAGACCTCCCCACATGCCCTCCCCAGGACATTTTGCTGAAAATATATTAGATCACTATAAACTTAGTTTATGACTTTATGACAGACCACTATTAAAGTGTATTTTTTTAGGTAACTGTATATTCATGTCAATTGCTAAATGCTAAAACCCCACCTCTTTTCACTATTCATTCCCATAAATGGCCAGCCTACCCCCTCCCCTCCACCCCAAATGTGGAGTCGTGGAGATTAAAAGATGATTTATGGTGGTGTGGTTCCTGCATGAATGCATATACTATATGTTGAAATGACTGTGATAAACAATTCAATGTTAGATCTGTACAGTGTTGTATATAGTATACTATAATCAGTATAAATATGTAAAAAATAAGATGCATTTTCTAATTTTATTAACAATGATTATGATGTACTGAACTAATATTGCCTATAATTGCCTATAACTGTTTTGTCTTTTGAGCAATTATTATTGGCTTATAATTTAATTCATTAATGGTTGACATTATTTGCCAGGTACAAAGTTTATGTATTATGAATGAGTATTATAAAAATATTTAAAACAACCTGGCTATTGTTATCAGTATCGGCTAAACACCCAAGATAACAACCTATTAAACTACAATAATTTTTAGAACAACTGAGTATTTTACAAAATACAAAACAAATGAACTCCATTGATAAATATAAAAATGTTATCGATCTTTAGAGTTTCTTTCACTTGTTTTTATATTAGTTGTATTGTTCAAGATTAACCAAAAAATAATTGGTTATTTTAACCTATTTACTTTGGTCAATTGGTCAAATTAACCTATTTATATTAGTTGTACCGAAATGTTCGAGATCAACCAAAAAATAATTGGTTATTTTAACCTATTTATTTTGGTTATAACCTATTCAATTGGTTAAAACAACCTATTTATATAAGTGACAACCTTTACAAATAGGTTATTTTAACCTATCAGTTTTACAAAATGACAGTTATACACTTGTGACGGATCTTAGAAAAACAAAATCCTCATCTTAGCCAATCATGAGCTTGATAGATACCAGTCCACTCTCGGTTTGTACTGCATACGCACAACGACGAAAAGTTCTCGAACACCTGGGTGTAAATAGCCGAGCGGAATTAAACGCGCGGAACGCCCGAAACGGCGCTTCGCGCTGTTAGCTCGGGAACAAAACTGGAACTCGCAATGGTATACGTTTCCCAAAAGGGGAACAAGGATATATTTGGGCAAAATGTTCGAAAATTGGAAATCCTAACGGTGCAAAACTGCAATTTCAACCGACCAGTTTAAATCAGATCGTATTTGGTCATTTTTTATCACAATGATTCAATAAAGGTGTCAAATGACAGCTAAAAGGCTGATCTTAATAAACACGAAAAAAGAAAACCTATATAATTATAAACGTGATAATAAACGCACGATAACATGTCAAAGTTGGATTATCTTTTTTTGAGACGCCCTGCATATTTTTTTTTCAGCACTGGTTGGATCATGTCAGTGTTCGTTAATGTTCGTATTCGGTCCACTGGTGGGATCTTTCATCGACTGGTGTGGAATACGTAATATTTCAATTGCCGGAGAATTTCTATATTCTGTTGGCTTAATATCAGCTTCTTACGTAAATACAATCTATGGCCTATTTCCTACATTTTCTCTTATTTTTGCAGTGGCGGGTTCTTTATTGCATTCATCAAACATGATAGCGCCTATTAAATGCATGTCGTCACGATATCGAGGAATGGCATGCGCTTTTGTATCCAGTGGCGTTTCCGCAGGAATGTTAAGCTTTTCCTTGATAATAACATTTTTATTGGAACAATTTCACTGGAAACTTATGTTTCGTATACTTGGATATCTTGGAGTCATTATTAGTCTGTTAAGTTTAACCTGTGGTTGGATTGAAGGGGTTCCAAATATTTCTGAAAAGAAGAGAAAATCATTTTGCGACATGTCTTTATGTAAACGTCCTCAGTTCTTTGTCTTTATGCTTGGATCATCAGTATCAATGTTAGGATGGTCTGTTGGAAACTTCTTTTTGGTGAGTATACTAGCTTGCTATATAAGTGCCTTGATTAATGCATTAATGCTATACAACGTCTAAATAAAGGGAACTGAATTCCAACTTCGCTCATTGGCTATACCAAATGTCATCTAGTACAATGCATGGCAAAACTGTATATAGCTGTAACAGCGCACTATTTGAAAGGTCCTACACTATTGGCTGGGTGGCTGACCAATAAACGTGTTTTCTACTATGACGTATCCATAAACTGTTAAGCCTAGTAAGCAGTGCTAGCCTAGTTGACTAGTTCGTTTAAACGGCGCAAAAGTATGGTTTATATAAGTTAGGAATGTGTTCACAAATTTTTCTAAAGCCATGCAGAAAGTAGATTGCGTTAAGATAGCGACATGCATCCCTATAGAATCTCACAGATTTTAGGAAAGTTCTTCTAGATTTTAAGAAAGCTCAGTAATTTCCCAGAAACCTCTTCCTCAAAACTAGGTTTGAAAGAAATAGATCCATTTATTGAACCTGATCGGATACTGAAGTGAAACATATCGGACCATTACTGTGCGCATGCATTTCAACTCCCTCACCGACTGTAAAAAAATTAAACCTTCTTCATGCAGTTAATTTTTTGCAGCAACATCATTCACATTTTTAACATTTTATCAGAATATATATACGGTCATCAAGTTGCATAAAATATAAAAAACCACTCGCCGTCGGCTTCTGTTTGCATCATACAAAACGGCTCATACGGCATGTATATATTACAGATCTTGTTTTTCCTACAGGTAGATCGTGCTAAATCTTACGGCATTCATGAAAACAAATCAAAATGGTTTTACTTCGCGATTGGAATTGTTAGCATCCCGAGTGCACTTCTTGCTGGGAAGATTGGAGACATGGTAAAACATCGCGTTAGGTTGACAATAATATGTCTCTTCTTACATGGTATTAATACATTGTTGAGCTACTTATATAAAACTTACATCACTATGTTTATATACTCAATCTTCTCTGAAATGTTTGCTGGTACTTATAATGCCGTATTATGTGTCGCCATATCGGATTCTGTTGGAGCAGAAAATATAGCACAAGCCTTTGGATTTCTGATTGCCTTTCAAGGATCATTTCTATCTCTTGGGCCACCTATAGCAGGTAATAATAATCGATCAATAGACCTTATGCATAATGACGTCGCAAGGCTTGATGCCCGCGAGGAATGCTGGTCTTAGCAGTCATCCCTGGGAAAATTTCGATAGTGGCCATTTTTAATTGTTTAATTTTCCCGGGCGATGACTACTAAGACCAGCATTCCTCGCGGGCATCAAGCTTTGTGACGTCATTATTCATAAGGTCTATTGTTTCTGCCGTAGGAAGCAAGCAAGCAGTCAGCCTAATTTATACAGCGGGCATTTTTTCTAAGTGTTCTTCACCGCAGTTGCAACTTCTGGTACAGAGCCACGTTATCCTACACTTTACTCAGCCGATCGTTTTCTCACGTAACATACCGGAGAATATGAATGAAGAATATCAGAAAAATTAAAAGCAGTCCTAGTCCATATGGACTCACTGATGTGTGTCCACACATTTTTACCTAACATCACTCTGTGTCTGATATTGAGAGGCAAGTTGCAGCAGAAATTGCCTCGTGTAACATTCAGGATCAAGATGTGCCGTTCAGGAGTAATGTCTGGCCACAAAATACCCCCCTTTAACAGTTTTCGTTTTAGTTTAACTGGGGTCCGTCTTAAAGTCATGTTTCTTTTGTATAGTTGCGTATTTTCCCCTTTATAGGTTGGTTGAGAGATACAACTGGGACATTTAAACTTCCCTTAATCGTTGCTGGATGTTTTGAAATTCTTGGAGCATTAGTATCCATTCCAAGTGCTACAGTACAGAAACGAGAACAAGATTTAGGAGATAACTGCGAGAACAAAAGTACTGCTGTCATAGGGGATGTAGAAATTTGATAGGGCTCTGGCGATACCCTCCTCTTCTTAAAGGGATATGTACAAATTTATTCCCCTTTTGAAAGAACATTTTGTGACGTAACATGCATGCATGCACATCCATGCAATCCAAGATGGCGGACAGCTCACTGAATTATGATTTCTATCAACGTAATATTTCAAACTGAAGAAGCTTCAAATATTTCCACATCAATTTAAAAGTTCTTTAAAATAAGGAAACTAATTTTTTATTGACATATTCCTTTAATGGACAATGAAAAAGTAGGTACACTAAGCGTACATGTTATCTGCTCATTTATGTCATGGATGGTTTTCGACGTTAAGCGCATGCGAGCTAGTACACACTATAAACTAGAAAATAC